TTAAAAAAGCGTAAACTGTCCCAAGTTTTGTTATATCGTATAATATAAGTTGAAATAAGCTTCATTCCATATAATTTAATTTCAGTGCAGACAATGAGACAGTTTTTCCCCAGAAAAAGCTTCACATTGATTAAATTTTTAAAAGTAACGTCAAGCAGAGTCATACGTTTTTTGACGTTACTCATTGTGACGTAGGCAAGTTATGTTATACAAAATGGATAAAATCTTTTATCCAATCAAATGACATGCTACAAGTAAAATTAAATTAGGTTGAATTCACCATGCATCGGACACATACCTTGCTTCGAACAACTTTAGGTAATAAGTTCTCTTTCAACTTACGAGTTCCGTGTATTTATTTGTTTCTGTCTTAAATATGAGGATTTAAATTTTTTAATGATACCGATTGTAATTATCATGTTGCGATAAAATACCCTGAAAATACCCATGCAGATACATAATATTTTACATCATCAAAGGGGAATAACCAGAAATTTATGATTTTGCAATTTTTTTTTAGTTATCCTTCTTTAAATTCGTTCGATGGAACGAGTCAGACTTCGGTGAATTTTGTCAAAGATTGGCAATTTTACCAAAAAAATTTAAGAAATTTGTTTTAAATGTTTGTATAATTCTTTTTAGAGCTGGTTTTCACTAGTACGTTCATTTCTCCGTACATCGGACACAAATTAACCATGCATCGGACACTTTCCGATGCAATGATAATCACGACCATTTTCATACAGAACCCTACTGACAGCTGTTTTTGTCGGAAATAGAAAATAAAAACTCCAAAGTTTCAGTCAAAATACAAGTTATCCATATATGAGGTCTAAAATCTGACTCAATTTATTTCTACAAACCAGAGTATGATAACCCATTGATAACCCATTAGAGAAATCAAAGTACTGAAAGTACTGAAAAGCGGTTAGCATGCTTTCATCTAATATGTTCCGAAAAAGTGCATAAAATGATGATATTTAAGTATGCATATCTTTGTCCAATGTCATCAGAGAAAAAAACCCAGACATTCTGTTTTTGTAATACTTAACTTAATAGTAAAACCAATAACATTCCAAACTGATGTCACAGATGGATGCAATCTAATTAAAATTAGATGTTCCGAATCCGCTACTGCTTCTCAAACATCTAACAACATCCTATTTGGGTCATGTAAGAGTGAATCTTCGATTAGCCAAAGAAAATGGTTCCTCCGAAATCTTGGCTTATAGTTCAGATGGGTTTCTTGTTTTCACCACCGAACCAAAACACCCGAGGAGTTTTGTAATAAAAAAAATATGCATTGCAAAAGCTGTGTTAAGTATGACGTGTGGGGTATATTGTATGGTTTGTGCTCTTTCGTTTGCATTATTCACGTTCAGATGCCAGACTGCAGAATATACATGAAATTTATTCCAAAATTACTTTAATTCAACGTAAGACAGTATCAATAGTGATGATATGTAGCCGTGGAATTAATTTGAGAATTGTTTACCGAGGCTTGAATCTACATGGCCAAAGTGTTTGTGTTTACTTGTACATGTATTCATAATCGAAAGGTCGCTCTGATGTGACCCCGAATGGGATGTTAGATGTTTCAAAAGCGGTAGCGGATTTGGAACATTTAAACAAATTTTAATTAGATTGAAATGCATGTTTCAAAATTTAAACATGAGATTTCTTCAGTTTGAAAGACAGGAAGTGCATTTTTAAAAGTTCTTTCTTGATGGCATCCAATTGTTCTCTGGATGAAAACAATTATGTTGATGTTTAAAATTTAATTGTCTTTTATGCTCTATTGAATCTGAAATTAGGTAATTGTAAAGCCTACTATAGCAAACAACTAAAAAAATGACAAGTTAAATTCTTTAGATTACTGGAATTGGGATAGTGTAGATCTACAGCTGGCTAGTCAGAGAAAAAAGGATGGCTGAGCAGAGACTTTGTAAATGAATTGATATCAGAGAGCTTCAGTTGTGTAGCTCATCGCGGCTATATAATTAACCTGTCAACGAGGGATGCTTACTTCTTCTAGGCAACGGATCCCACCTCCTGAACTTTCAGGAGTCAGCTTTTCTTCTTAAATCGATCATTGATCATTCTGTATTTTTATACAGATACTGAATACTTCCGTTTAGTAATATTATAAACTACTACTTCTACGGGAAGACTGGCGAGTAAACAAGATTATCAAGCTTTATGAAATGTACTTTATTGACTTTTCAAACAAGTAAATGTTCGAATAAAGTAAATGGTATATGAGAATCATTTAAAAGAAGTCTTGCACAATATGTCTAGATAAGTACATATAATGTGTATTTGCCATATACTCTTCATGCAATATTGTTCTCAAATAAAACGTGAAAAGGAAAGTTGTCTAATCAATCAATACTAGTATTTAAAAATTCAAATGTACACTAAAAATCAGTGTAACTTAAGAAGTTATCAGTGTCACTTTCTTCAATATGTCGGTGAAACAATATACACTGATTTCTTTTCAATGTGCCTCTAAACACCTGTATCTTAATTTAATTCTTCTCAAACGCTAAAAACAATAATCGACAAATTAGACAAATTCAAATTTTAAAAGTATTTTCACAGCAAATAATACGTTCCCTAGGAATTGATCAAATTTTCAAAACTTATAAATATTAAGTATATATTTTAAATTTTTGCTAATTGCCAAAATTTTTCATACCTTATTCTTCTGTGAAAATAATATCGGTTGATTTTTAGAAGAGGATGACAATGCTGATTAAAATTAATATATATTTCTCCATTTTTTTTCAAAATTAATTTTACTACATGTACTTTAAGTGCCCCATTATTTTTTTTTCAAAACTAAAAGTAAGTGATCCCTTATGATCGTTTGTAATAAATTATCAAAGAAGGAGTAGAGAATTTACCCCAGGGAGCAGAGCTTTTATAATCTGTTTATTAGACAGAGAAGAAAAGAGAAGAAAAACAAACGTTTCATTGTGGAGGTAATCCTATTGTTTCCATAAAAACGTTACAAAAAGTGTAAAACTTACAGATGCATTCGGTGTTTTTATAAAAGCGTTTTTCAGGTATTACTTAACTTAATAAATGCTGTTTCTTAATACTTTGGCAAGGAAAATCAAACTCGATCGAGAGATTTGCTGATGATTTTGCAGTCTGTAATAACCTTCAACCTGCTGTTTAATAAACCGTATCGTTCAACTTTCAAAAATAAACTAACAGTTGCTATAAATCGCGATCGCACGATGTACATGTAATAAGGACCTAATTCTCAGTTCTTTGAAGTAAGTGTTCTAAGTATTGTCAATGCTTTGGTAAATACTAATAAGAATTCGATATAGTCGTTATAATAGCCACTCTTCATACACAGCATATTGTCAATCTCTCACCAGGGGGTGTATTACGCCAACAGTATACAAATCATAGGAAGCGCTTTGCTGAAGTTACCGTTGTCGATAAGTAGCGCTTTGTGGAAGTTTCCGGTTTTGATTGCAGAAGGATAAGGTAACGTGCGATAAAGCGAAGTCGATAGGTAGTGCCTTATGGAAGTTTCCGGTTTTTTGGAGCCCATGCCATAAAGCGGTTAGCTAGCTAACCGCTTAAAAAGGCGCGAATTACCGCATTACAAGCATTTTAAAGCATCGAAATCGAATTGAAACCAAAAGATGCATACAACCAGTGATAGTTTGACATGGAAACAGAGAATAGTAAGCGTTAAAGAAAATATTATCCAAAATTTGATCCCCTCAAAAGTTCGACGACAAATACAGATATTTCGAATTCAAACCAGATTTTTTTTTTGAATTCAGTTTTTGAGGATATATTAATTGCAGCAGTGTATAATGGTGAAATGCAAATTGTGTTGCGAGTGTTGGATAGCCATGAGCGAAACTTCGACCTGAAAATGTATATCAAATCAAATCTGGAAATGTTTTAATTTATATTATTTTCTACCGAAATATTCACTGCAGCAGTGTCGTTTTCGTGTTGCAAATAACGAGTTTTCTGGATGATGGATTTAATATAAGTCTACTTTAAGCTTAAAATGGATTCTTCTCGAGGAAATGATGCTTCCAAAATCTTAATCAAATGTGAAATTGTGTCATTTAAATTCAAGTTTTGTGAGTTGAAATAATGTGCATTACTCATGCATTTAAATGTGTAAAATCGAACAGATCTGATGCATACACTGTTTTCTGGATTAACTTATATCTCCAAGTTCTTTTTGTTATTCAACTGTACATTAAATCGTATTTAATGTATTAATTTGTTTTTGTTTCCTTCTTGTACACATGCAAAGGTTTACCTGTAACTCTCCATTCTGTCTGTTTTAACTGTCCATTCTTTTTTTAAAAACTGTCCATTCTTAAAAAGAATGGACAGTTTTCCAAAAAGAATGGACACATACAGGTGACTTAATGGATTGTTAGGGAAGTTAGCTCAACACTAAGCTATAGAATGGACAGCACAAACTAAAAAGGTTTACTTCACGATCATGTTTTAAATTGTATGTTGAAGGCAGAAATATACCACTATACAACCATTAAATATCCCTAAGCAAGCAATCGATATATATGATGCAATTCTATAACCGGAGGATATTAAATAGAATAATTGATCTTGCCTGAGAGTATGCGAGAATTTGTGACAGCCTGACAAAATGGAGGAAGTGAAACAGAAATTTAGGCAGTTTTCAAAGGAGAAAATTTTGCTACAAATGCAATGCTTACAACACGGTAAATATCTATCAATCCATTCATTTACCTCAACGATAAGTTGACCGAATTTCGATTTTCTCTTTACTGTTTATTAAGTTCATGGTTGTAGTTTAGAATGAATATGAATCTTCATAATGTCTTTTAAAATAATTATAAATTATTCCTTATGTTACGCCCTTTTGTGAAATTTAACGCAATTTAAAAATCCCTTTGAAATGTTAAACAAAGGAAAGAGTGTACGATCAAATGCCTGAACATGTTTTGCTATATTTCATGTAAAAGGATCGACTCCTACTAAACAAATGATGGATTTCTATACCAGGGAACTTTGGAAATACTTGGATTTTGCAATAGGCACAGAGGAAGATGTTAAATTACGAAGAGAAATAAACGGAGTCTATGTGGAGGTGATGAATGTTAGTCAGATAAGTGATCAATTCATTTCTGGAAGTGCCGCTGAAGGATTTAAATTTCATTGGAGTGATCTTGATATAATGTGGTCCTTAACAAAAGAAACTGTTGTCATGGAATTAGAAGGATTGACAAACTTTAAACATATTAAATTCATTGCAAGTGACATTGGTTGCAAACCAAGCTTCTGTAAACTTGTGCCTTATCCTTTTGTTAGTTTAATGAAAAGGTTTGTCAAAGTGTGTGATGCCGAGTGTGTTTCTAGGATAAAGTTTTTTGAAGATTGTCACAAATACAGCTACAATAAATGCACCGATAGCACAAGTCACGGACCATGTGTTACATCATACATATCGAGGGAATACGATGTTTGCTTTTGCTTTCCTATACACCCAATTTCCTCACATAAGATTTTGAGGAATTTTTCCACAACATTTTGGAATGATTTAAAGTTACGTCTGTTAGAAAAAAGTGTTACCGTGATGCATGTTGTTCCAAAAGGTCCCACAAACGGCGATGTTAAAGGTATCCAGTGGCTTAAATCATTCTGTGCTCTTGAGCAACACATTATTCATTCACTAAATCACGTTCAATTCTGTTGTTATGGTTTATTGAAAATTGTTATCCATGATAAAATTGAAGAACATAGTGAAATGTATGACACTTTGAGTTCATATCATTTAAAGACAGTTTTGTTTCATGTTTTGGAAGATATACATTCCGATTTTTGGATTCCAAGAAATATTCTCTACTGCTTTTGGATTTGTTTTACACGCCTAATTTTATTTGTTAGTAAAGGTGTTTGTCCTAATTATTTTTTCCCAGAATGCAACCTTTTTCTCCAGGGTACAACTTTAACGAAAAAAAGCAAAATTGAAGAAATTCTTTTGGATGTCATGAAATCAAAGCCATATTATCTTGTAAGTGTAACCAGAATTTCATCTCTTAATAATCCTGCTCGTATGATTCAGCAAAACCCAAAAAAATTACGAGACCTCATGACGTTTTCTATGGCATTGATGAATGTGAAAGGGTACCAGGGAACCTTTCAGAAATGTATGCTTTCCATTGTAAAAATATTTCAGTTTTTAGAAAATGAGAAAGACGAACGAATAATTGCGTCGCTGAAATATCTATTCATCAGTTTTATGAAAAGAGCTGGGGTCATTCTTTATGAAAAGTTTGTTTTGACTGGTTTTACCCAGTACCTACTGTCTGCGGAGGCAGCCTTTATCTTGGAACGGAATTTTCTGGCATCTGCAGGACTATTTTTAGCCACACTGTGGTATTGCCAGGGAAAATATAACTCTGCAATAGAAGTGCTCTGTCATGTTCTCGACAAATTACCAGATAGTATACTCATGTTTGTTATTTATAATAGTTTCCTCTTGTGTGATATTGACAAACCAAGGTGTAATATATCGCATCTTTTAGAAAAATATTGCTCATGGAATATATCCTTTCCTAGAAATAGCTGTTGTTATCCCGAAGATCTTAAAAGTGATGTTCATGCTTGTCCGATGAATGACTTCGTAATGTATGACAAATCATACGCTTTATTTTTGATGTTCCTTTGTCATTTGGAGATGGGACATAGCAGGAATTGTAAAAATACACTTCGAAAACTGTATGACTCTTACAAAGATATACGTTTTTGTTTGTTGTATTCTCAAGCTCGTGAAAATTCTGAAAAACTTGCAACGATAGCCAAAAGAAAATTGAAAAACAAAACAAGACAGAACACAAAGAAACAATGTAAAACAAAAAAGAAATGATAAAAAATACTGCGATTGTTACAATTGTTGCTTTTCTGCAGACTTAATGAATAATCATTTTTAAAGCTATAGTTAAGTGAATAATGTAACAAGTATCAATAACAATAACTTAGCAAATACCTGTTGTTAAATTAAAAAAAAATGCATGTGGAAACCAATGTAATGTGTGTTATTATATATAAATAAAATACATTGTATATCACTTTAAATGTACATATATTTCAATGTTTGGTACACTTTAAAGCATTTTGAAAACAGTTAAGAATTCATATGGATAATAGTCATAGATATTTCTGTATTACTAGTGTTCCCAAGAAATAAATAAAAACTCCAATTATTCGAGGAACGTGTCGCCAGACCTTCAAGTAAATACAAACCATCACCATAACTTTTTGGATGAAATACATATACTTAAAGTTTGTTTATTTAAATCAGTTTAGAGAAAACACAAAGTAAGAATATATATATATATATATATATATATATATATATATATATATATATATATATATATATATATATATATATATATATATATATATATATATATATATCTCCAACATCCCATTGTAGAGTTTATTCAAGTTTGGTTCAGTCTTTGCCTATGCGGGCAGCTGAAAGAACGCACTATTTGGTCAATATAGTTTTGCTTGTTCGTTTCTTGTTTGTGTAATGTCCTTTTCGAGACTGTTTTACTCATCTTGGGACGTCACCCCTTTCCAGTAGAGACCGCAAATTAAATCTATACTCGGCCCTCAGAGCCGATGCAGCCTCCGAAAAATTCCACTTGGTCGGCCAATTCTCAATGCGGCACACCAACTGAAAATATAGGTCACTACTGTGATCATTTCCTGGTGCACATTGTTCAGAAACTTTTCATCTGGAATTACCTCTAGCTTGCAGTTCTAATCTTATCTTTATTCTCCGATGTATATTTGAAAATGATTTTTTTTAGTTCAACGGACGATGCTACAAACAAATTATGCATAAGGTAAACCCCTGATGAGGCGGGTTTCACTAATATGAAATGACATGTGCTATTAATACTACCAAAACACTCTTAATTAGTTTTGACATATGAGCAACTGACTAAATGCTTCATTTAGAGTGTCGGGTTTTTATAAGTTTAAGACATGTCTGGATCTAAGGATGCCGTTTTTTTTTTTTTTTTTTTTATGCACCAGTTATACCACCTTTCGAAATAATTCCACCAAGCTTGGGGAAAAAGTCTTTTCAGTGTATGTGGGAAAGACATTTCAATTTAGTATTTATCATCTGAAAATACATATGATCTTAAGTTTCGTTTTTTTTGGTCTAACCTACACATAAATGAACAAAAAGAAACAGTAACTCGAGTAATACAAACCAAGTCTGTTGTTTCTTAAATTGTAATGAATACCTTGTTTTTCTTTTCTACCTTGTTGGATCTTTCCAGCAAGCTCAGAAAACCGAGGCAACCTTGGATATGTTTTCTAAGCTTGCTAGCTGGAAGATGCCGTGTTTCACTTCAAAATTGAAATTACAGTAAAATACAGAATGCTCAAAGAGCAGTTAGAAGTTGATCCATTGTCGACTTGTAGCCTACTTTTTGATTCACCATTCTGAACTGTGACACTCTCCATCCCCCAAACCTAACCCCCCCAGTGTGCCAATGTGCCTTCCTATTAATAGTTATTCGATTCTGAAAATTAAAGAAATGGTTCAGATATCTCCTCTTGTATTTTATTTTGCTACAGCGCTAGCTCACAAATCTTTTTAAAAAGATAAGCTTAATATGGTTTCATTTTGGATTTTGTTCACCAAATCAGTTGTAGAAATACAGCTGTCAATATGTACTTTATTTATATCAACATGTAGTTTATTGATGTCAACATGCGGTTTATTGATGTCAATTGGCGAGTTATATTTTAAAATGCTACTACTGTTTTTATGAATTTAGTGCGGGTATTAGAGGATTCCATAAGAATTTTAGAACTGCTTGTCAAATTTCTTCATAGTAAAGGTCTAATATCCACGCCTTTGCAAATGAAGGATATGGAGATAACGAACAGTATACAATATCAAAGTCCATAAACAATACAAAATAGGAGCAGAACAAACAGAGCCCTGTAAAAGATCTGAGGCGGGATCAGGTGTATTGGAGGAGTGAGCATCCCTTCCGACCGGTCAGACTCACCGTGCGCTTCCTGTCATGATCGGGAAATAACGGAAGAATCCGTCGTCAGTACAGTGTGTAAATAATTGACTAACAATTAGTATGAAAAACGTCGGTATATCAAAAACGTCAAAATATGAATTAATTACGTCTAACCACGGATGATATTAGCTAGGTTAATTCGTCAGCTTAGCGAGTGACTTTTATTTTGATTCCCGCACGTTGACACCAATTACACGAGGCTTATCTAATTTGATTACCCACACAACCTCTTCGATCTTACTGTTCTTTTAAATATCCATCTGTCTTCTTTATACGTACCGTACTCTTCTTTGTTGAATCAGGCATAATCATATTTTACATAAGGGATCAGGCAAAATTTATCACAATGATGGGACCGGTACAAACAGTCATGGGACAATGAGTTTTTTCATTGCAGAAAACCATGGGACGAAAACAGTTTTAGCATTAAGTATACCCATGGGACACAAACATTTTTTCAATGAGTTACACTACTGAAGGCTGTTCAAAGTTAATTCTATGTTTAATGTCACATCTAAAGTTCAAAACCTACGAGGGAGGGAGGAATAAAAATAAACAAACAAAAATTTTAAACAATTGTGAATTTATTCAAATTAACCTACTCAGTACATTAAAACACTATAATTGAGTAATAACAGTATTGGATATGACAGCTAAGTCTAATTTCTAAGCAGAGTTTTTCCTTAGTATGTAAATGGGTTGAGTCCTTTTGTAAGCAAACAATATATGTTTGCAGGAAAGTGGCTTTTAACTTGGCCTTGTTTGTCCTTTGGATTTATATTGCCACATGGTACCCTGTACTAGGCTGTAGGGAAATGCTTCTTCTTGTGGGAATAGTTGTACAATATCTACAATTAAAATTTATGATGACAATATTTAATACAGTTCATTCTTATATTGAAATATCTTGAAATTTAATTACTCTGTATAATTTTTACTTATATCTTATTACAAGCATTTAGTTTTGAAAGTGCTTTACTAATATTTGGACCTATACATGTACATGTAGCTGTTAATTATACCTCACTCTTAATTCCAAACACATGACAATTTGATTCTTCACTTCTTGGAATAGCCCAATCACTTTCCTTACTCTCCTTCATTCGAAAGGCCCCATCTTCTGTAAGCTTCTCTCTGCTCAAATGGAAATGACTAGTATTATCCTTCCCAAAAATTGTAGCTAATTGTATATGAATACTACATTTATGAAGAAATTTATCTTACTGTTCCTTTAAATTTTTAAAGAAATATTTTAAGATGAAGTTAATTTTAAAATTTAAATGATGCATCTCAATGTATATTATAAAATCTTGGTTTTTGACACACTTTGTAAAGTTTGGATATTCTCCAAAATTCGTTGAAAATTTCAGGCAACATAATCACAAACTGAGAGTCTGTGATTCGAAGACTGACAAAAAAAAAATCAACAAACTGGAGTTTAGCATTAACTTCTTTCATAACATCATCTATTTTCTACTTACATTTATGATCTCATTCTGTTTAATTAATTAGTCTTCTTTCAATAAGACACCAACAACATTTACTCAATAATGACAATATTGAAGCCCATTTTTCTGTCACTACGGGAAGCAGAATTAGGTCGCTAAATGTAGAACCAAACCGGAACGGATATACGAAATTCTGAATTGTTTCAATTGTTTTTTTTTTTTGTTGTTTTTTTTTTTTAAAGTCTGTTTGTTTTTGTTTGGCACATGAAATAGCACATGTAACATAAGATTGGCACTTAGAAACATAAGTTGGCACATAAATAAATAAGACAATATAGGTGTTTTAAGAAGTTAATAGTATAAAACCTAATTTTCAGATATTGATCGCATTTTGAAAAGACGGATTTCTCCTTAACATACGCGTGCGGATGACGTTAAACATAGAATTTATTTTAAACAGCTTAACCCAAGAGAGAAATTCATTATATTTAAAAATATATATATTCTTTTTTTCCAGAAAAAGGTCGTATCTTCAAAAGTCAAATGAAAGATTCAAATAGCAAAATAATTCTTCAAATTAAGGCAGATTAATTTGCCCTTATACCAAATTAATCTCATTTAATTGACGGAAGCACATTATGATATGTTAGAACTGTTAATTGAACGAATTGGCTAAAATTCAAAAGCCGTCTTGGTACGAGTTAATAAGTTAGTATCACTTCCTCTTCCGCCATTCAGCTACAAAGCGAGGCAAACTAGATCAACATAACAAATTATTTTAAAAAATATCAGAAGTAATCGTATCAATCTTCACAACCCAACCGACCAGCAATGCCTCCAGTGCGAGCGAAGATCACTACACGGTCCAGGAAGGAGCGTAATCGAAACTTTGTGTCGCCAGGCAGAGGGCGAGGGAGACGACCTAACCATGCCAATCGTTCTTTCCACGAGGAGGACCCCTCAAACACTACAGCCCGTCCAAGGGGAAGCCTGCCCCAGAACACCACACCAACGCACACAGCCACAGCAACGGTGGCGGATTCCACCCATGATGCAAATCGGATCGAGTCGGATACGTTGAGCAACACGTCGGGTGAGTCGAATACCTTGATTCTCCCCACAGTAAATGCTTTATCGTACAATACAAACAATGACGAATTAGAGGGGCCCCCATTTAGCATTTCAGACTATCAACCGGCTCAGACCCCCAGCTGTATAGACCCTATCAGCGCCCACGTGCCCCTTAAAATTAAACAAAAGATTTGGGAGGGAAAATTTGTTGATCTATCAATTTTATTAAAATCGGCGCGGGAAATTTCAGCCCACTTAGACACACAAGGCCAAATACAAATACGTAATGGCACAATGTGCCTTGTTAAGCATAAACCCCGCAACTTTTTGTCAATTGACAAATGGACATCGGCCTTCCTCATCTTCACAAGTATTATGTTAGAAAAATACAGAACACGAGCCCAAGAATTCTTGAAATATATGAGGGATATAAGAATGGCCGCTGATAGATCTGGGAATGGTTGGTCCACCTATGACGAACAATTTAGGCTGCGCAAACTTTCTGACCCACAATCATCTTGGGGCATTATAAACTCGGAACTCTGGTTGATCCATGTTACCAACAACTAAACCACACAGGTCCAAGAAGAGCCCACGTCCCCCCCACAAAATTTCTACTCCCATGATGAACAGTTCAACATTACAGAAGCTAAGAAAAATGTTAATTCAACAACAAATCGTTACTGTTATGATTTTAATTCAGGCAAGACATGTAAATTTTACCCAAATTGCAGGTTTATCCACTCGTGCAATTCATGTGGCAGATCGCACCCCTCAATCAAATGCAGGAATAGCCCAATTGAACAGTGGTAGTATATATATATATGTATATATAAGATAGACAAGAAACGCAAAGAATTCAAAATGAATATATCAAAATCGTGTCACAGAACCGGGAGGGGGGGGGGTTATTTCTCACGAAAACATATTCGTCACCAATACAGACTTGGGAAATTGGACAGAACCTACCTGTCTGAATAAGTTAATAAGTGGATTGTGGTTCAGGGGAAGGGGACAATTTCCCTAATGTAAAGTAATGGAGGAACATCATATCGATGTCTGTGGCGGGGGGGG